TGGTATACCCGCCCGGTATACCAATTTAGCTGGTCCCGATAATACCGGAACCTATCTATAGTCAAGTTATATATGTTACTAAATAGCTTGAATTTATTTGAGGACATATTTTCAAACTTTGGGTTGATTTGTCAAATTTGTTTCTAATTTTTGAAATAGCACATACAATGCAAAATTGAAAATTTATCCTTCATTATTCAACGTCATATCTTCATTTCAAACTCTGGGGAAGTCCAGCAACTCTTCAGTTAACACAGTGATAAACCAACATGATGTTACTTTTATCTAGTAAGGAATTGTACGAAATAATCAGAAATTAAATGGCTTAGCTAGGTTTAAATCCATGAAATGAAAGAGATGGTAGAGAAAGTTTTTTCCCCGAAGGTTCTCTGATTATTGCGCTGCCGGCCGCTTCATCATATTTTTTGGATTCCATATTATGCAGAGCGGTTCAGAGTTTATTTTCAAAGTTCAACGAGTAAACTATAATTACCAGACAACAGATCGGCTTCTGCCATTGCCAGGTGTAATGTAATGACGTCAACCAGTGAAGGTAGCTCAACTTTCACTCGAGTGAAAGGTATTTTGAGGGGTTCTATGTATGTAGTCGATCCCTCTTTTTGGTCCCCGAACTGTGCTTTGACGGAATTACTTTCTCGGCATTTGCAGTACGGCGCTGCTCTCATTAAAATGTCAGATAATGAACTTCAATGGACATAAAATGGCAAAGTTTATGGGTTGTTGTTGTGGGAGAGACGCCATTCTTTTCTATTCATCATCATCTCCAACGGAGACGGAAAAGTGAGTGGGTGCCCTTTGAAGATGAGTAGAATGATTATTATGGCCTTTCTCCAACCGCATTCCTCGCAATATGCTGCTCAATCCGTAATATTTCTAATCCGACGATGTCAAGTACACTTACGAGTTTGTGGAGAAAGCGAATTGAGGGTATTGCGATGCAAGTGACTCATTCATGAATGATGATCAAGATAATTGGAATTCCATAATTTTAGAATATGACTTGAGCCTAGCCTAGAGTTTTGATCTTTCCGACATCTCATTATATCGAGTTTTTGCAATTTGTAGAACGTAAACAGATTTCCTATGAACAGATCTAATTAAATAACAGTGGTGTTGTTCCCTGTAGTAGTTTCATGGTTTTTTAAATTCAGCATTAAATTATGTACATCTACATTTAAATACAACTTCATGGTTTGATTTTGAGCACCTGTCATTTCATAATTCAGCACATCCCAATTTATTTGTGCGACTAAAATTTCTTAATAATTGTACGCCACTTGCTTTCGGTGGTCAGTCAGTATAGTATAGCATATAATTTCATATATACAAGCAATCCTTTCCATATTCTGTTAATAATATAATTATTACTGTTACAATTATTTAAACTGAACCTAATTCCTAGGGGAAGTAACTATGCACTAAATGTCAAGCAATCGTGACCTGCGTTATTTTAATAGTTACATTTACAATGTCTGCTTCTGCTTCCCTGTGAGAAAATTATGATAATTTTGTTAGTCTTTCTCATCAAAATATAGGACTATGAGAACTAATGCCATTATAATACCTTTTGTGAACGTTGAAACTTGTTTGCAAATTTCTGGCTCAACAGTTACTCTAGCCCGAGTTAGGGTCAGAGTCCGCTTCTACGTTTTTGTCAGATGACCAATAGTACCCAACTACTATTCGTAATCGTCAAAAATTTTCTATAATGTAACATGCAAAATTCCACTTTCACCCCACTGGGCCCTTCTGCATGAATAATAATTTGCTCGTTATGAGTCATAGCGTCATAACTTATGACATTGAATGTCCACTTTATTGGATAAATATGACCAAATTCCCGAATATGCCTTCTACGATCATTCCGACCCTTTTATGACCTTTGCCGGTCAATCATTTGACTGATTTTTCTCATATTCGAACTTGACTCCTCATTTCCCCCATACTACACGTGTCAAATTTCAGTCAATATAATGAGTTGAACGAGAATTATCGCAAGACAGACAGGCGGACATGATGGTTCCAAAAGTCCTGACTCTGGCAAAAAGAATTACAACGTTCGAGTTCAAAATCAAAACGAAACAAATATTAAATCCTCCACCAGCCAGAGATTTATTAGGCAATATCTGTTTTGTTCGGTCAATGCTTTGTGAACATGCATGCCTAGTGGAAAGAAAGAAACACATGTACAAACATTTTGGCAATTGAGTTATATAGGTGACCAGAATGAGAATGAAATAGTTTCGGTGGGGCGGGTGTATGTGTGTATTTGCTGGTGTAGGCTTTTTTCGAGTCGGATTACATTAAGTGACTATACGTAATACGAACAGTAGTGCTGGTAGTACGTGAATGCAGAACAAGCCTAAAGAATAATGGTATCGTCGTTTTAGTTCAGGAACAGAGTAGTGAGTGGGTCATATAGTGGATGCAGGCAGTTTGGTTGGAAGAGGAACAGTAAACAGGGGAGAAATCCTTGTCCTACTTTCATCCTTCCATCCAACTGCAATAACCCTTTTCCATTTATTTAGAGCTCATCGGCTATATGCATACTGCTCTCTGCACTTGTTCTCCTGCTGAGGGCTGTTGAGCTCCCCTACGTACAAGTCCGGGTTAAAGTAGGTCAGCCCAAGGCCTTTCAGGAGTGAGCATTACATCGAAACCTCAACCTCTGACTTTCCATCCTCCTTGTCCGTCCGTGCCGTGCGTTCGTTCGTCGTATGCATTATTCTGCCAGATCCACAAACCAAAGCCAACGTGGAGAATACAAGAATGGTCCAAAACTTGGCTGGTTCACGATGATACCATCTGCAAAGTACATCCCGTTTCGTAACTAATGGGGCACATTTTTCTCGTGCAACAAGGACATTGTTGACAGGGTTTACTCTACTATGCTCCAACTATGCGCTTTGTATAAAATCATAACGGTGCTTCTAGGTCATTCTAAATGCTTTAGTTCAGTATCAACTGAACTTTAGTTCTTCCACTTATCAAAAATGATTATGCCGTTAAACATCCGTGGTTCTTAAACTCTTATGCTGGGATCTTTTATTTCATTAAATAGCTGGAGAAGGGTCATCACATGCTTTGTCTGCTATATTATAAACTCTCACTTTTTCCAACTGAGAATAATGGTTATTTACAAACTCTAGCTAGACTGTGAAATTGGACACATTTAATAATGAGTTAATCGATTTGCTAAACTATCAAAAATATGCGTCTGTCTGACTAACTGAATGGGGTTTCTAAGGTCGAAGTCGAAAAGGAAATTAATGCGTACAAATAAAAGAGTCGCACACAATTACTAGGCGATTGTCTTTCTCTGAACGACGACATTTGATTTTCTTTTTTGATGACTCACTCCATCATCATTGTTGAGTTTGAACAGACATAAGAAGGATGTTGCATCATAGTAAGTAGTGGGAAAGGTATTATACACCATCCATGGTAGGTGAATGTTTCTTTCGTAAATTTTGTACCATGATGTCTACTAGCTAAATCATAATACAAAACGTTCATCACCTCTTCTGCACTAGGTACATGTGTAGTTTAACGTTGAGAAAAGTCAAAGAAGTTGTTGGATTTGGAAGGAGGAGGTGACATCATTCAATTAAATAAAGTTCAATGCAACAAATGACTGTGCACTACCAAACCAACTAGAATATTGATATATGTGGAAGGACTCAAAGGAGAGACGAATTTACCACAAATATTGAATGTCAGTATGAATGTATGTATTTTAGTTATCATCAACTACAGCAACAACTAAGCCTGTGTTCACACAGATGGATGGATGGGTGGGATGTGTGTAGTGTAATATGCAATTTGTGTTTTATCAATCAGCAAATAAGAGCGATAAATAGAAAATGGGAATGATGGAGGAGGGCTAACCAAATAAAAACTAAATTGAAATGTCTCGCTGTCTCACCTTATCGTACATTGATTCAACGTTTAGTTGTGTGTATTTATGTAGCTATATATATATATCTAGGCTTTCAGTCTTTTTGTCAAGCTCAGGTCAGACCTGATATTAGATAACAAACTCTGCTTAAATGATTGAAAGAGAGAGTGCTGCTAAATTATTGTGCATCCACTGGGAGGCAATACTGTTCTCTGCTACTGCTATAATACTTACATGGCAACAATGCATTTTATTAGCGGCGAGGCCCAACAAAGTACATTTGCCATGTTATGCATGCTACAATGCTGCTTTCTGCTGCTGGTATGGCGATGTAATAATAAGCACAAAGGTTTTGGATGAATAAACCAAGTTTTTATTTCATTCTCTGTCTGATCACATCGTGCTGCCTTCATAAACTTCAACTTGCAACTAACCTACGAACCAACCAATAAAGGATTGACAATTATGGCCATACCGATGCACAATATATTTTAGCGGACGAGATGAGTATTTTGCTGCACAGCTCCTTATTAAACTCTCTGCATGTCTAAGGTTTTGCATTACAATATGCAACGTGGACTTGAGATATTACAAGATGTATGACGATAGGTATGTGCATTGCACACATCACACGCAGATTTATGCATGCAGAGATCGTATAGTAAGTAGCATGAGAGAGGAGCATTATTGTTATTCCATGTATTTAGCCGTACGCTCTGTTGGTTCATTTATTATAAAACGACAGGGATGTTGTGTTCATCCCATTTAAATTTGTAAAAAAAGAAGCAGCATAACGAGTTGTGATGATAAAACGAAGGTTGGATTATCATCATTGTTACGTGAACTGTGTGTATTGTATACATCATGCATGTGTATTAATGCAAGCAGGCTGGTTGTTGCGAGCAAGGTGGATCTTTCGCTCTCTCACAATTCGCAAGCATTTTACTCGTTCCATTCCACAATTATTTGCACATATAGTGCTGCTAAACGACTTCAACTGCATGCAACTCTCCTGCTGCTGCTGGTCTCGGCTATGGCATGGAAGAGTGTTTACAGCAGATTTTGGGTTATTGGGTTGGTCAGTCAGTCTCTCTCTTTGCAGCCTTTGGGAAGGTTAGCGTTGAAAATAGTTCAATCTCAAAAGTATATATATCAAAATTGCATGTGCATTCTCTGGTTGACTGTAAAGCCTGTTGTTGTTGTTGAAATGTTAATAATTCTTACTCCCACTAGCACCACTGCTACTGTTTGAACTTTGAATAATATAAAATTGCAATGACAACCAGCAACCACGTTCTCAATTGAAAGACACATCATTCATTGTCTGCAGAAGGAATAGGACGTTTTACCAGTGTTTCAACTAATAGTTTGTGATAAATCAGATTGTAATAGGATATTAATATCCAAAATTTACATTACAATCTACGCTAATACTACTGACAAAGTGCATTGATAGTTCCAGTTCCAGGACGACTAACCATAAGTTTTGTGGTACAGTTTTTGGTTGATGAGTTGGGAGTTATTTTCTTAATTATCTTTAGTGAGTGAAGGAGAGGAGTCAACTGAACTACACGAACAAGAAGCAAGCGTGTGTTTATATTTGCTTGTTATCTATTGAGGTGTTCCATTGTGAAAGTTCCATAATGGGCGAAAAATAAGAACGCAGAGCTTCCAGTCACCACAATCTAAATCTAAGCTACTGGAAATCCATTTGTTTTTGCAAACTTGGTGAAATTATAAATTTGGGTTCAATGAAAGGAGAGTAAGTGCACAATGTTGAATTTAAAATCTTTCTTATAATTGTAATCTTACTTACTTCCAGTCAAGGGTACATAGTTTTAGATTTTTATTTTATTTTATGCATGCAAGTTTACTGCAACTTGGTTGATGGTAGTGTCATGTAAATATATAGTGGTCGACGAGCAATGGACAAAAAATGCATTTTTGAATGGAATCGAAATTCTACATGAATACATCAGTCTGATGGGGATATAATATGTTGGCTACTCCACTGTCAAAAGTATTTAGCAATTTTCCATACATGGCATTTTCATTAAGTTTAAGGCCTGTGAATATCCGCCGCATCAAATCGCAGATACACAATACGAATATGAAACAAATGGTAATATGATAAACCAGTTCTGCAGGTCATAGTTTGCATGTAACCACAATACTAGCGCACAATAATAATAAAAACAACTAGTGATTGATATGATGATATGTAACATTTAGCAAAGGTGACGGTTAAGGTTACCAGTATACTTCTGTTGCATTAAAATATTAATAAAAGTTGGTCAGTACTTACTGTTAGTGCCACTCAGACATCAGTGAAATGAAAATGAATTTTAATCAATGAGCATAATATATGTTGTGGAAGTAATTTTCAACAATAGTACGACATAAAATGAACCTTTCTGAAAAGTAAATACTACATGTTCTTTTTTTGCTCCTAAGCAAGCATATTCGATTTACTAGTGGTTATTATGGAGCTAAAAATGATACCACCACTTGGTAAATATCATCATAATAATAATTGAGTAGAGTTCACTTACGTGGGCCGTACTATTATCAATCGGCTCAGCCAACAGCACATCACTCACATAAAAAATTCGAGACCCATGCACATTATCGTTTGAGTTGTATTAGGACAAAGGGAAATGAGTTAAAGCACAACACCCTGCCTGACATGCCATAACCCTCCGTAACATGCAGAACGAAGCTTGCAGAGCAAAATATTTAAACGAATTAACCTTGTGCTGTGCTGATCTTCCTGTCTTTTGGTATCACACTTGACAATGTAATGTATGTGCATGCATACGACGACAACGACTATGATGAGATGGTGGTGACTGACTTTATGATCTTGTTAGCAGGAGCATCATTCATGTCATTATAGGTCCTATAGAGTTACATAGTCGTTTGGTCTGAGTGACTATGCGGCCTGAACGCCGAGAAGAATATAAAACGACGATGAACACGGAGCACAACAGCACAGTGCTGATTTTTGGAATGACTGAGGTAACCTTGATGTTGAAGGACGCTTTTTGGTCTTCCTCGTCAAGTCAAACTCTTCAAACACACCCTTACGCTGGTTAAGCTGTATTATAAGCATCCTCTTTGTGCATCGCATACTGACTTGTGTGCATGGTTTTGTTCCATCTCCATCACAAATTGTGATTCGCATTGTGCCATTATTTTGCTATTATGAGGATGGTTTTTAACCGCCCACATTACGATTATGACCAAAAAGTACTGTCTCCTGTTATTGTTGTAAATTGATTGCGCCTTTCTAACTTGCGCCATGGTGGCGTTTTTTCCCCTCTCCATTGTTTATCTCAAAATGACCGGAATCCAAAAACTGTATGGTTTAGTAGGAAATTGCATTAAATTGAGTGTCGATGGGCGCTCTACGGGTAAACAATTAACCAATACAGAAAATGAACACAATTTTAGGCTGGATGAAATGTCTATCCACACTATTCAGAGGGCGGGTAAGATCACGCCATAGGTTTCTATAGGTTTTAACGTGTCCCCTGAATCGTAGGGGTGGGCATCATACTCCTTACTTGGTTAACAAAGGAATGTGCTATCTGTGTAACTAATATACATAATCTATGCCGAAATCGGATTGAGTAAGATTTCGTTCTTCTCCCTCAATTCAATTTTCATATTATTTTACAATGTAACATTGGTCATACAGAGAATTTAAATAGTTTATGACTTCTTTCGATCCTCTCATTACTCATAAAAATGTTGGGAACGGTCTAGGAGAACTATTTGATAAAGTTTACGGTTTTATTCTGCTTCACCAAGCCTTCGACAAACAAATTTTGTATTCTTCAGGGTTAATGTCGACCATATAAATATTTTACAGTTGATCACTAATTAATTCACATTAATTTTTGTAACTCGAAATATTACATTACTTCTCTTGCGGATTATTTTAAATGGTAAAATTGTTGGTAGAATATAGAATTTATTTTTATTCCATTATTGGTGTTGATTGTATGGATGGATTTTTTGATGTACAATGTTTTTTTAATCTTTCGATGAAAATTTAACGTAAATAATTTTACTCATAAATAAGAAGAAATGGAGATTTCAAGTCCTTGACCTGGTTCATCGGTATTATTCATGTAACTTATTTTTTTGTAGACCATTTTTTATTTTATTGCAACTCCACAGTTTTAATTACATGATTATGTTCCACAGTTATAAGTAAACATTTCTAACAAGCTTTCTTTATCGCCAAAATTTAATTGCTTTTTACAAAGTACCGATTCTTTGTTTGGGTCTCAACTTCCAAGTAGTGAAAACATTTTGGAATAAAGCGTGCTTCTTTACATGGAATTGAGTTTAACGATTGAAAAAAAGCATTTTGAAATTATTTAAATATTCAAGTGCAAATTTTGGCCTAGACTTGAATTAGATTAGTGAATTGAATAATACATAATATTTAGGAACAAAGCGAGAGCTGTGGTGATCAATCAACATTGAATTTTGGTTTATTAATTTTGCAGGATGTTTCAGAGGAAAGCCACCCCCACAAATTTAGCCGTGAACATTTCGGGTGGTTCTTCCGAGACGTCTGTGGTCTCGGTGAAGACGGAGCTATTACAGCACAACAACAACCAGTCCAATAATAACTCTGACGGCTTTGGAGGACTTCCTCCCTCGAAGAAAGTTCGACACGACTCGTCGACGAACGACTGGGGCGACGGGGAGTCACCCCCACCCACCGCCGCAGCTGGCCAGTATGGCAGCCAGGGCTTTTCCTTCATCTCACCTACCGGCAGCCTGGATGACCCATACAGTCCAGATCTGGGTAAGCAATACATACAAATATTTTCATGCAAATATATGCATCGAAATTTCCATGAGACTTGTTAGTAATACCATAAATTTGAAGCAGTTTTCTTATTTATTCGCATTTCCGGTTTTGATATTATTTGAAATAGTTTCATGTCAGTCGGCTTGCAGTGGTGGAACGAGTTATTTGAAACCAGGTCATCGTAATAGCGTAGTAGAGCAGGAGATGTTGCATTAAAATTAAAGGAGGATATGATACGATGTGTGTATGTATGTGAATAACTACATGAGATACATTCAACATTCGGTCATAAAGAGCGTAATAAGTTCAAGCATTGCATTGCAACCCTTGAACCAGCCCTCTCCACTTTGGATTCGTAAAAGTGCAAACAATGTTGACGATAAGTAGTCTAACCAGCTAGCGAATCCTCACCCCTTTTCACGAAACGACACGAGGTTCGGTTTAATAATGTTGCATGCGTTATTAAAATTACGATGAGATGAGCAGGTAGCACTGTGCTGCATTAGTTGTATCGAATCATGAGATGATGTTGAAAGGGTTAAGACGACTGGATACAAGTAAGTGGTATTATATGGTCTCTATAAGCGTTAGGGGAAGAAGAGGACGAGCGGAAATCCAGGCTGGCATAAAAAGTCGAGTGCCCAACAGCAGAAAGGCGAGAGATCCGCACCATATCATTGCCACCCATAAAAGCATCTTTCTCCTCTGCATAGCGCAACGTTGTAGGAGAGCGAGAGGAGAGCGAGAACCTTAAACTTGAATCAGGCACCTCCTCCTCCAGCCTACGAACGAAACCTTGCGTAGCACATCCATCCAGTTCTTATTCCGACTGAGCGGCTGTTCTCCTGCTGCATGTGGTAATGGATGGATGGAATAGTGGAGTTTTATTAGCAGCAGCAGCAGAGCACAGAGCAACACACACACACACAGAGAGCGGCGATGTTCCGTCTATATATTCAGCCGCAGCGTATTCAGTACAAGTTCAGATTTAAGTCGAAGAGTGCTCACTTTATTTTGTTTCGTGCTTTCTCTCTCGGTGTTATTGACCTTTCCTACCTGAACCATGGGTGACGACTCCGAAGTGACATCGTCCTCTGCCACCTCCAGATCAGGTCAACACGGTCACTCACAAGTCATCGTGGCCGACGTTATCGTCAATAAAGATGACATTGGAAGTGGGCATGGAGGAGACGTTGACCTAGACCTGTGGGACCTTGACTTGAACGTTAACAATGTGTACAGTGAAAGTGTATCCGTTTCAGTTTCGAATGGTGGTCATAATAATAATCATAACACAATCAGCAATGGTGGCAATGTCCCACCGGCCAAGCGAACTCACATGAGGAACAATTCTTTAGCAATTTCCAGCTTCTCTGACAGTTCTTCAGGTAGAGAGGATTGATCTTTCGTTAATATGCATCATTAAGGCGGTGAAAGTGACGCATATAATTTGTTCCTTTAAACAGTTCATAAATCTACGCTAGAAGATGTGTTTTTAATTAATTGTTGGCATGCGTGTAAAAATACGTTGTTGAATTCACTCGATAAGTCAGCATGTATATTGGTTTTGAAAACGCAATCATAAATATAAAGGAATGAACTCGTGTGTACATACATACATCACAATGATGTGTTATTCCAGTCAGTAAAGTTTTGATAACGCATTTAGTTAACTATTTATTCTTGTCTGTGCACGACAGGGCGATAGCCTCTCTCTCTCATGGCATGCTTTTTGATAGCTCAGCCACATAATATTTCCTATTATGTTATGATAGGCAATCATCATGGAAGGACAGCAACCCTGCCGTAAATAAATACATGGCTTGCATTACATTCTTCATCATTGAGTGCTGTTACTTCCAGAAACGCAAATTCGCCAACCAACAATTTATTCTCGTGCGGCGCTCTCCTACGCTTCACCATTTGATATTTTGAATGAAGTTTATAAAGGCATACCTTTTAGCAAACGTACCAGCATAGCGTACACAACTTTCGCTAAAACATGGAACGGAGGAGCAGAAGAGTATATATAAATGACAACATTAAGTATATTGGTTGGTAGGTAGTGGTTGGTTGAATTTGGTTGAGTTGGAGATAGAATATCACACCGAGCATGGCAAGTTTAGGCGAAAGGGAAAGGCGTCGTCGATCCCCGAGCGCTCGTGGAAGGCAGAGTTTCAATACGCTCCTCCTGTTTCACAATATTCGTCACTGCCAGGCCACTGACATGCTAACCTTGAAATGCACCTGAGTTATTGACCTAGCTGGATTAATGACAAACAAACTTCGTTTAATTTTTCCTATGAACATTTGATTGTGAATGCATGCGTACATATGTACATACATATGAACTCGGCCATTGAACTGTATTCACTTTTGCTTTTATTATGCGTATATCCAGTATTGACTGTTATTACATCGGTTAATGGTCACACTCCGAATGAAATGTTTATTGATTTATTGATGGCTAATTAATCTTAATTAATCCTATATAACTAAATATTTTCAATCTGTAGGAAGGGAGGATTTGTCCCCCGGTGGTGGGTTCAGCGCAGACAGTTGTGGCGAAGGGAAGAAAAAGAAAGGTCCTGTTCCAAGGCAGCAGGAAGAACTGTGTTTGGTGTGCGGCGACCGAGCAAGCGGCTATCACTATAATGCACTGACCTGTGAGGGTTGTAAAGGTAAGCGATGAAATTGATATTGGATGGACTATATGTTCACAAAGTTTCAGCTAGATGAACCACCGTACTTAATTGTGCCTTATGTTTATAGGTTTCTTCCGTCGGAGTATCACGAAAAATGCTGTGTACCAATGCAAGTATGGCAATAATTGTGAAATTGATATGTACATGAGGTAAGAATAATACCAAGATTTATGCATTTTAAAGTTTACTTAAGCGGAGTGTAATTGTCTTGTAATTGTGAATTGCAGGAGAAAATGCCAAGAATGCAGACTTAAAAAGTGCCTCGCAGTTGGAATGCGTCCTGAGTGTAAGGATTATTCTACACATGTTACAACTGACCTTATGTAACCTAAACTTATATCATTCTTTTTCCAGGTGTCGTACCTGAATACCAATGTGCAGTTAAACGAGAAGCCAAGAAGGCACAAAAGGAGAAAGATAAGCCAAATTCCACAACACAGTCACCAACTCCAAAAGAAGTTGAAATTAAGGCATGCCACATATATATTTGTTAAAAGATGAAAGAGAAAGTGAATATTACACTCTTTTTTATACCTTATAATTCCATGCGCAGGAGGAGAGGGTTACCGTTGGACTGAGCGTTGTTGGTGGTACTCCAGAAAGACCTCCGCCAACAAAACTGCGTGCTACCGGTCGGTCACTAAGCGTCGAACAGGAAGAACTTATAAATCGATTGGTTTATTTCCAAGATGAATTCGAACAGCCCACCGACGATGATCTCAAACGACTTAATGTATGTTTTTTTTACACTTTTGTCCTTTAGTTCTCTTTAATTATTGTATGCGGGGTTAGGGCAAATCCAGTTTTGTTTGTGTTGTTATATAGTTTATATATACTCTTCTTACGCTCTATCGTGATAATTTTTCTATTCATTCTGTAATTTTTTTCTTGTTGATTAAGTTGGGTGGGTGTGTGTAATTCTTTCATGTCTGATTATGAAATCAAAAAATAACGGAATCGTGAATTTCTTGTGTGTAACTGTTCTTTCGCTTTGATAAATAAAGGGGCTTCCCAACGAGGGAGAAGATGCCTCCGAAGGTCGCTTCAGGCATATTACCGAAATGACGATCCTGACCGTGCAGCTAATCGTAGAATTCTCCAAAGTGGGTTTGGTTTGGTATTATAAAACAGACGAGAGGGGAGTAATGTAACTGCAAAATTATCAAGCAAACTCGCTTAAAATGTTGCGTACAATAGTAAGGTGTATGTAGCTTCAAGGAATAAAACTGCATTCAAAGGAGGAGCATTAAACTATTATTAAACAATCAATTCAACGTGATACAAATGTTTCACTGATTGGATCAAAATTTAATTTTTGTAGTAGACTAAAAAATATGGTTGATTAATAATCCACCTCTTGAATGTTTGTAAATATTTCTTGGAGTCACACATTAATGTAAAATTAAGCGACATGTTAATGAGTTGCCAGTTGCATTTCTCCGACCACGTCTCAATACTGTTATATACAAAACCAAACTAACTTACTCCATCTCCCAGCGCTTACCTGGCTTCGATAAACTCGAACGGGAGGACCAAATTACACTTTTAAAGGTACGTAGAAATTAACTGTTTTGTATTTTCTTTCTTACAAAGGCTCCCCCGGTGAATATTCACGACTCTGAAGCAAAGTTCAAACATATTACGGAGATGACGATCCTCACTGTACAGCTGACGGTGGAATTTTCAAAAAAAAGTCCAGGGTTTGATACTTTGCTTCGTGAAGATCAAATAACTCTTTTAAAGGTTGACTTTGACATCCAACAGTTTCACAGTTTTAATTATAATAATAATTCATCAATCATTCAACACAACCATTTTCCTTTTATACACCATGCCGTGAATTTTGTTTTGTTTCTTTCCTTTTAATAACATGATAATTTTTTTAATACAATTTGTCAATAATAATAACTTCATTTTAGGCTTGTTCCTCTGAAGTCATGATGTTACGAACTGCCAGACGATATGATTATCAATCTGACACCATCATTTTTGCGAACAATCATCCATATACCCGTGACAATTACAGCTTGGCTGGCGTCGGAGACTCTGCGGATCCCTTATTTAACTTTTGTCGTCATATGTAAGTAGTAATTCATTACTTGAGTGAAAAAAAGCTGAAATTTAAAGTATTAACTGGTGATGAACTATTGTAGGTGTGCAATGAAGGTGGACAATGCCGAATATGCTCTCCTCACTGCTATAGTAATTTTTTCAGGTACGCTAAATAAGATTTAGATCAGAATAATTTTATCAGAAAAGTTGCCTCATAAAATAAAGATTGTTAAATTGTGAATTAGAACGTCCTTGCTTGTTGGAACCAAGAAAGGTGGAAAAAATTCAAGAGATCTACTTGGAAGCGTTAAGGTAGGGATGTTTACAATTTATTTTAATTATATGGTATATAAAAAGTTTTGAGTATTAATATCGAGAATAAAATTTAATGACATGAATTTTTAATTATTCCTTTAGAGCATATGTTGAGTACTTGCACCCCATCCGACCTGGTAAATAATTTTGACTTATATATTGTACGTATGATTAAAGAAGCTGTATTTCAATTTGTTTATATTTTTAATTCACACAGGTGTTAATTTTGCTAAACTTCTGGGAGTGCTAACGGAATTGCGAACATTAGGAAACATTAACTCAGAAATGTGCTTTTCACTGAAACTGAAAAACAGAAAACTCCCACCGTTCCTCGCGGAAATTTGGGACATTCAAGCGTGATCTTCTTTACAGGCATCTCTACAGATGCACGTTATTATTGTACTGGTGCTACAAATGTTGTTATGTACTACTTTGTATTTGTTTAACAGTTTATACTTTAATTACTATCTGAGGGGTGTGCCTTTATCTGATATGAGAGTTTGCTATATGTAATAATGAGTGCATGTCGATACGTAACTTATTATATAAGGTATCTAGCATGTCGAAATAATATTCAGTATTCCATTACCGAAAGAATGGTATGATTAAAAAAAGTTTAATTATTTGGACACAATTTTCATCTCTAGAAGTACAATTTAATTCAACCATCCTCCATCCATTTGCAATACATTTGTTCAACATGTCGTGATGATAATATGTATAACATTGCACTCGTTGTGATTGCAAAATGATTCAAATTGTACAAGTTCATGTAGCAGTAGTAGTAATAGGAAGTGGTTTGCCTCGAAGGTATAATTATGTATCCTTCTACCTCTGTAGATGCACCATAACAATAGTACCAAAAGGGATTAGTTCTGACCACAGAATCTCATTTTCCATGTAGATAGTTCCATTCCACATTGCATTTTCGCTCTTCTTTCGCATTCATGTAAAAGTTCACGTCTGGCAAGGCAGGAGATCATACCTTTCTGCGCCGAGTTCCCAGCAGTTGTTCTTCCAAACAAGACAGCACATCTTAATAATCTCCAGAGACTTGTCTTCCAATTCTTTTTATAATGAAATCTTGCTACAGCAGGGCAAAGCTCAAAGTTACGTAAGTCGCTCTTCTCCTTATTATTGTCATCATTCATTTGCTCTGCTCTGTTCCTGTCTGCTCCACGCCACGTCCATCCAGGCCACACAGTTCTGTGTTTATACGTACATCCAGATCCGTCCTCGGTCCTCCCAAAAAAATTCTGCACAACGACTAATCTCATTTCGGGTCGCTCATGGGTCTGCATGTGGTGTGCCGTTTTGTTGTTTTATGATGATAATTCAATCATTTATCCATCCAGCTCACTGTACAAAGAACCACCAGCGTCCAAGCTTAACGTGCGGCACGCTAAGTGCCTGCAGCCAGCCAGCGATTCCTCGCCGTTGAGACAACTCAACGGGGTGGACAAATGGAAGCAGCAAACGACAAAGGAAAATTATTTGGAATCCCCAAAAACAAAATTTGCACCTCTGGTGCAAATTAGAAGCCTTCCGCTTTGCCTTAGCCAGCTCAGATCCTCAACAAGACCCATGATTAAAGGACATGGGGAAAATACACTGCAGAGATCTTCATACGTTGTGAACACGAAAAATGTCTGTTTTTTGCTAGATACAAATATTATGAACCTTTGTAAATCATAGTCATGCTGATTATTATTTTCCATTATTACAAGATTAGGAGAAAGTCCAGGTAAAACGTGCCAGGAGTTTGTCACCCGTAATCCTAAGAACTACGGCAGTGGAACCACTAACATCTCCAAACTTGGTTCGGAGCAGCAGCTTTCCCAAAAAGGTACGTACATAAGTATTGCATGCATTTGCATACATATATATTTTCATATTAAAGTGAGCAATTTTCATGTCATCCGACCAACCAAAGTATGCCAACCATAGACCATATAGTTTTGCTCGTTGGCAATAGTATGCAACTTTTGCTTGCAAGATTAACGCCTGCTGCTGCTACATTACATGGTTTGCCTGCGAATTCCCTTTATTCATTTTCCTTCCTTGAATTTTTAAACAGCTTTTGGCCAACTCGAACGCTCATGTGAATGTAGAAAAAAGATCCGCAGTTCTGACTCTTTCCTACCATTAGACTTTGGTGAGATAGATAAAATTAATGGAATCCAATGATCACGACGAGTTCGATTTGAAAAGTGTGTGGTGTGGGAACTTTCTCATCATTGATGTAACACTTTTTTCTTTTCTCGCTTTTGATTTATTTGAATAGTTGGATAGTTTGTGAGTTTACGCAAGTTTATTTATTTATTGAACAATTGTGAAATACGTTTTTAACCACAACCTCTCAGGAATGAAAAACAATACATGATTAGTTTGTTTCACGCTGAGTGTAATCTTCCCATTTATCTATAAAATGTAATGATCTAACCTAAAACTAAAACTTTTGTTCGGCAGGCATGAACTTGTCCATTTTATTGCATTTGGTTCATTCATTCATGTCTTTTTCTCTTTCTCTCTCTCTCTATCTGTTCATGACTACAGAATGGACGCAAAAGATTTTTGGGGAGCTTTATTCCCATCCGATCCACGTACACATCTATATCCAGAGAATGCAGACATCAACGGCAGAGGACCCCCACGCCAACACCAGCAGTTCTTTCTTCCTCACCAGTGCCAAATCCTGCTACTTCCAAATGCCAAAGACCACCACCATCACTTTCACCACGGCATCGAGTTTTTGATGGATCATCCACATCCTGTGGAGTTGTAGTGGAGGGGAAAGTCAAGATTGTTGCAATCACCAACAAATCCCCTGGCGTAAGGAACCATCAGGAGAAAGTTCCCGTACAACCAACCGGTAAATTATGTACAACCCCATTAATATTTAACCTAGTAGAAAGCAACCTCTCCCACTTACTGCCCTCCCACTCACCCAAAATCAGTGTGGAATATTTTTTTGTAAATTGTTGTTGTTGTTGTTTCATTTCACAACTGAAAGGTGTATGGTACGTGTATTCTGACACGGAACTGAATGTGCGTGCGTGTATGTTTGGGATTGATGGTGGGAGAAAGTGGAACATCAGGTCAGGAGCAGGAGCATTTTGTGTTCGTCGTACGTATAAGTCAAATTGTCATACAGACGAACGGGCGTCTTGAGATTCGAGTAAAAGTTGAGCAGCAGCGTCATGAACATTTGCTTTCTCTCTTTCTGTCCAATTCACCAGCTCAACAATAATGATGGCAGTGAATATATTCACAGTTTTTATTGCACTCTTTTCACCCTCTCCACAAAGCATGTCCTGTGTGGATGGAGACGACGAGGAAGAAAGAGTCAGCGCTCGACTTTGCCTGAAATCCAAATTTATTTACCCAAACACGTCTGCATAAATCCATTCCATGTTCTACGTTCAACTGGTTCAAGTCAACGCCAACTTTCACCATGAGACATTATGTCGACGTATGTATGTCTATCACTAAAACGAGCCAGGCTTTCTCTAAGTAGTATAAATAGTACATATAGTAGGAAAATACAGGCATGGGCAGCGTAAACATTGTAATATTTCACTGTAGGGATGTGATGTGGGAATAGACTGAATGGCACTGAACGGCGAAGAGCCTGCACCGCAAATTGAGCTGGATTCAGCTCAAGTAGAGTTTTCTATTCTTCTTTGGCTGGAAGAATAGGAGGAAAAGTCAAAGACATTCATTTGGACTCTTTTTGGAGGACGACTTGAAATGGTTATGGACTAGCCTTATTTCGGTAGTCGGTCAGTTTGGCGAAAACACTTTTGGCGAAAATTTTTCGCCAAAAAATAATCCCATTTGGCGAAAAAAAAATTGCATGCATTTCACCGTACGTTAGTTTTATTTTATTTAAAGTACCTTTTGGCGAAAATAATGTCGCATTTGGCGAAAACGAGGATTTTGTGAAAATCCAATAATTCAATAAAATTACCCTTTGCCCAGAATTCCTAAAGTTCTTGCTTATCATGCGAATTACAGCGATTAGCAAAATCGGATACATGGATTTGTGACGGGACGTTTAAATCATGTCCAAAAATATTTAAAAGAAGTGGTCAACTTTACACAATAAATTGCATTCAAGAACAATTGACGGCATAAGCCCAACACTCCGACAATCCGTTCCAATGCATTGGAACGCATTGTCGGGGTGCATAAACCATTGCAATGGTTTATGCTCATCTCCCTAAAAAAACAAGGAGTACTACAAAATATTGTTCGAGTTTGTAAAAGATAGCGTCAAAAACCATAATCCTTCTCAAATCATATTGGATTTCCAGGCCGCGGCAATTTATAGTATCAATTTGATACTATAAAGTCCGTGTTCAAAAATATAGGAAAATGAATCACTTTGTTCGAGAAGTTGTGAGCAAGTACAGGACCCGGGCGAGTTATGAAAAATTTGTTAATTGGTTATCGAAGCTAGTGAGAAGCACGCCAGACTACAAGTCTTAATTTTATTTTATCTTAATTATAATTATAATTATAATTATGAGTTAATTGTAATTTTGAGCGATTTGACATAAATAAATGCGAAATTTAAATTTCGCCAAATGTACTTTTACGAGTTTTCCACTTTCGCCAAATGTGACAATAATTTCGCCATTTAGTACTTTCATGACAATTTTTTACCACATTGGCGAAAAAAATTTTTTCGCCAAACTGGCTTTCGCCAAACTGACCGTCAATCCTTATTTCATCTCAACTCTTGAAATGGTAGGGTGGACTCTATAATCGTAAGAATTTCCTTTTGTCAATTACTATTACAGTCTGCAAACAGTTTTTGTTGAAGAAAAAACTTTGCTGCTTTGTTCTATTTCGAAGAGAGAGTTTGATTTGACGGCTGAATGTTGTACTTGTTGAGTGTCTGCTGTCCAGTTGTTCGGAAATCGCGATGGAGAGGGAACGAGAACAAATAAACAGACCATTATTTGCGTTTTCTACTTTTATTTGAACTAAATCGACAGTGAACTCGGGCATTATAAATAAAAAAAGGAGAAAAATTGAGCTGACAGAGTCACGTACTTGGGAAAACTGACTCAAAGTTATGTTTAGTTAAAGTCTAGATTTATTGAGCTGTGCCAATTTAATTATGCGATACCTAGGCACTTGGTTATCATAAAATATTGGGTCGCCTTAAATAATTTATCACTGTCTTTAAATACTTGATTATGCTTCAAGCGTAATTAGATTTAAAATGAGACGATTGTCCTGTCAAGTTGGACCCGCAGAGCAGCGGAGAAAGTGAGTGGGCTCTCACCATCTCATCTTCTCACTCCATAATACCGATACTAGAGATCCTCCCTGCCTGCCTACTCTTGCTGTGTAATAAGATTGTCATTTCATTTATGCATGAGAAAGGGTCTTTTGAAAGCATGAATATTCAATTGCCTGTTCTAACATACACACGATTTAGCCTACCTGCTTTCTCCCAGTCCCCGTTGTCGTCTGGTTTGTGGACCGTCTGGGCTATGTGTTTCATTTCATCGCTGTTTACTTGCAGAGATTTTCTTCTTTCTCATTACCAGCATATGCAAATATACGTATGAACATATATACATACGTAGTTTATTTTCCGTCTCGCATTTCTTACACAAA